GGATATAACTAATTTCAGTGCGGAACTCATGGGAAAACTCTTGATTGGTTTAAATCATATTTGACTAATCACACACAACGGTGCTCCGTTAATGGCTTTCTTTCTGACTTAGCCACTCTTAAATGTGGTGTGCCACAGGGAACCATCCTTGGCCCTCTTTTATTTCTAATTTATTTTAAAGATTTGCGTAACTGTTTCTATCATTTAACGTACCTAGAATGCATGATGATGACACCAACAGCACTTGTGCTGGTTCTGATTTGCATCTGATTCAGTCTAGTCTATCTCACTACCTTGAAAAGCTAAGCAAATGGCTTGTGTCTAACAGACTTTCCTTGAACGCTACAAAAACGGAATTTTTGTTGATCGGCTCCAGGCAAAGATTAAGTACTCTATCTGATACACTCAAACTCTCCATTGATAATGTTCCGATTGAACAAGTTTCCTCTGTGAAATCACTTGGAGTATGTATCAATGAAAATCTAACCTGGCATTCCCACACTGATAAACTGTGCAAAAAGATCACTTAGAACTGCAATTGCACCCCTAAAGCGAGTTAAGCCATGTGTGCCTCAATCTACCCTACTCTGCATATACAACTCACTAGCTCAACATCACTTTGATTACTGCAACCTAGTTTGGGGTAATTGAGGCAAAACATCTAACAAGGTACAAAAACAACAAAACTGTGCTGCACTAGTAATAACTTCATCGGGCTATGACACTGATGTCGATTCCTTGTTTCACAAACTCAGCTGGAAAGACTTGCAATTTCAACATCAAATTCAGAAAGCCCTAACTAATGGTTTTCAAGTCTTGAAACGGTCTGGTTCCCGAATATCTCACTTAAAATTTGTAACACCAAATGAATCAAATTATGCTCAGAAGGACTTGGTTAACAAACTTGTTGTTCCCTTTCTGAGAACTAACTATATGAAAAATAGTTTTACAGCGGCGCAACCCTTTGCAACAGCTTACCCTGTAACATTAGAGAGTTTGGTTCATTAAGTCAATTTGAACGCTTTCTCTATCGTAATTTTTAAACACACGGCATTCATGGAAATCAGGTTTATAAGTAGAATATTGTTGTAAGTTATTAACATATGCTTGAAGACTAATCTTGACTGTACCGGTTTGTGCAATCGTGGTGGAAATTCCAACTAGAAGAACCTTTATTCAGCTAGTGTTTTTAAAGACAGGCATAGGAACATTATAGCCAATGAAAGCTGTTTTTCAAAACGTTTCCTTCAGAGCAAAAAGTTCAGCAAGTGTTTATTGTAACATACCTGATCTATTCCAGCATATTTGAAAGTCTCAAACGTGAAATAGAAGGTGTCTCAATCACACTAAGCAAGTAACTCAAGAAAATCATGTCAATGAAACCTATATAAATACCAGTTGTATAAACACTGTATCACAATCAAATTGCATTTTGGCAGGCAAATAATAACAAATGGTGATAGCGTAATCTAGCAACAAGGTAAACTGTAACGTATTACAGTGGTGACAATTCTAATAAAGCTGTTTTGTTCTCCGCATGGTTGGCAAAGAGAAAGCATAGCTTCCTATAAATGTTTACAACAAGTAACAACACGTTAATTACTCTCACTACTCAATCGAAGACTACTTTAGGATACTGGTAAACGATCACAAAGCGGTTGCTGAAACAGTCTGTTACACTCTATCATCTGCTCTGGGGTCTGATAGGAAGACCGCCCATGATTAGGTTAATGGGACCTGATGGGGGAGTGAAATCTTCATCAGAACTGCTTTCGCCGTTATCACTATCGTCATCTTCACTGTTTTCATAATCACTCTCTTGACTTTTATCTTCTTCACCTGATTCATTACTTTCTGTACTACTACTATAACTACTTCTACTGCTATCATTGTCTTCGTCACTACTATTTTTGTCCTCATCAGCTGCATCTGCAACAACAACAAAACCAAATCAACTAACCTCCTTGGTAGGAACAAAAGGAAGCAGCAACTGCAGTACTGTTTGATATAAGATTCTAGCTATCCTAGAATAAATTTGCACAATTTTTGCCTGGACTCAATCCAATATCTTGGGACATGGGTTAGGGCTCCGACATTGGAACGGTAATAGTACTTTCTTTCATTTAGGTAAGACTTAAATGACTTTAATTTAATATAAAGCCTTTGTCTTGATGCAGGATTCTTTAAGCCAGGCATATACAATACTGTACAATCCAAATTATTACTCGGGCTTCCGTAAGAAAGCCCGAGTCATAAAATGCAAGTCGCTTTGTCTTTCTCGCCAAAAGGGGAGTCTTGGTCCCAGACGTTCCTAGAGTAGAGCGTGGAAACTGGGGATGAGAATGAAGCTTCAATCTTGGACAAAATAAATGGAACATCTTGACCACCCCTCCCCCCATTTCAATGATGCCAAAACGGCGCGCTTTTGCTCCTTCGCGCCTTCATCATTGCTTTGGGGGGGATGGGGGATAATTGTTCCATTTTATTCTGTCCAAGATTGTCTGAGGACCACA